GATAGATAGATAGATAGATAGATAGATAGATAGATAGATAGATAGATTAGTGATGGTCTATAAGCCAATAAGCATTAAAATACTTCTCCATGCAAAGTGTTGTTCCTTAAGGATCATGAAACTGTAAAAACAGTTTAACATAATACTATACTAAGGTTCTGACTGCCGTACCCAAGCAAGCACCATTGAGACGTTCCAATCTCTTAATGCAAAACTTTATATCAGCCTTGGAAGCCATATTTTACTTGGAAGCTTCGAGGCTACCACGTCCAGTGCCTGGGAATTTGGGAGGGGGGAATTTCATAGAGACAAGGAAGATTAGACTCAACAACATTCTTTTCTCAGAGAGTCAAGGACATGTTGCCCTGCACCTGGAGAGGAGTTTCTGGAGGAAGGTCTCCAGTTGGGATGATGATTTGATTGGACCATGTGATGGACTGATGGGTGCAGGGGAGGGATCTTGGAATTTCTTTTGGGAAGGGAAAACGCAGAACTCTCAGATTCGGGTTTTCCCAGATATGCCAATATGACAACTCTAATAAAATGGAACTTTGAGGAAATGCCTGTCTTGGAGTTTATTGAGTTGGAGTTGGTTAGTTGGAACACTGACATTAACCTGAATCTGAGAGTTTGGGGTGATGATTGAGCACATCAAATGATGTGCTCAAATGACTGAGCACATCATTTCAGCACAGATGAAAACACAACCAACTCTGGATAATTCCCAATGCAAACCAATATAAATAAAGAATAGATTGCCCATTCCCCTTGATTAGTGCAGGTCACACTGTCCAATTGATGGTCGGTGTATTGTTATGGGCAAACATCTGTAGAAGTGTCCTTGGTTTCCACAGGCTGTCTTGGGTGATGTTGGGAGCCTGCATTCCAGGTCCCCTTTCCTTCCCACTGGCTTGTTGGTAAGCTGAGAAGCAGCAATGGTGGCAACAGTCTAAGTGTGCTTCAAACTTCACAGATTCATTATCTTCTGAGCCTTTTACATCCTAAGGGAAATATGTCTTACCATTTGTGCACAATCATTTTCAATGAAGGCACTGTAGCAGTAATCCTGTTTTTGTAATTCAGAATGCTTTTATATAGAGTAAAGGAAAATGCCAGACTACTAAAAAACAAACAAACACTGCAAGAAATAGGCTAATTGGGGTTAATTGGCTATCTTTGATGTTGAGCATGTATTTTTTTTTAAAAAAATAAGTATTACAATTATTCTAAAAGTATTTGCATGATGAGGAATATTTTAAAACACAATTGCAATACAGGTAGTTCTCAACTTACGGCCACAATTGGGCCCAAAATTTCTGTTGAAAAGTGAGATATTTGTTAAATGAGCTTTGCCCTGTTTTACGACCTTTCTTTGTCCCTGTTGTTAAGTGAATCCATACAGTTGATAAGTTAGTTACATAGTTGTTAAATGAACCGTCAATGACTTTTCCATTGGCTTTGCTTGTCGGAAGGTCTCAAAAGTTGAATCACATGACCTTGGGACACTGCAACCGTCATAAGAATGAACCAGTTGCCAAGCATGTCAATTTTAATCATGGGACCAATGACGTTGCAAAGGTCGTAAGTGTGAAACATGGTCGTAAGACACCTTTTTCAGTGCCTTTGTAATTTTGAACAGTCACTAAATGAACTGTATAAGTTGAGGACTACCTGTATTGAGGCTTGAAGCTAACAAGGCAACTATTAAGATTCAGGCCTGGACTAGGATTCTAATCTCAGGATTTAGAATCAGGTTTGACCCTTCAGGACTGATGTCTCTGCTGTGGTTGGACAGCTGCCAATCTCTGGCACCACATCTGTATAGCAGAACTTTCCACTCTTGGTCCCTCTCCTGAATTTCTAGGTCTAACTCTGGAGAAAGCCAAATCAATAGGAAAAGAGAGAACCAGGGACTTTATGAGCTGTGGTGGCGCAGTGGTCAGAATGCGGTACTGCAGGCTACTTCTGCTGACTGCCAGCTGACTGCAATTTGCCAGTTCAAATCTCACCAGGCTTCAGGTTGACTCAGCCTTCCCTCCTTCCGAGGTGGGTAAAATAAGGACCCAGATTATAGGGGGCAAGAGGCTGACTCTGTAAACCGCTTGGAGAGGGCTGTGAAACACTGTGAAGTGGTATGTAAGTCAAGGTGCTACTGCGATCGTTTATACATTTTATTATGTTATTGGATTCGTTTGGAGGCAGAATGTTTTGCTTTGTTATTAATGTTATTCAACTGAATTTCTTCCTGGATTTTGGCTATCCAAATCCAAATTGTGCTTTGAACAATCCAGCATTTAGTTTAGTTTAGCTTAATTTAGCTTAATTTAGTTTCATTGTTTAAGTTAGAACTCCTGATCCAGCCATAATATAATCTGTGCAATGTTACACCTGACTTACAAATGAGAGGAATGTATTAAAGCATGAGTACACAATATTTTAGAAGAATTGCAATGGGATTGCACATTTCAGCAATGCTGTATTTTAATGAAAGCATGCTTGAGCTTCAATGCTTTTAATACCTACACCCACAAGACCAAAATTAATAAATAAAACAACCCCTGAAATAATCTAAAGAATACAATTCTCACCCTCACCTTACCCCAAGTGAAGCCAGACCCCAGAGATAGTGGGTCATAGTTCAGAAGTGACCTATGAATAATAAAAAGTGGGATAGCCACTTATATTCCCCCTCTTTGTTCACACATTAAATAAAGTAGGAAATTTGTTAGCAAGCGCATGTGTGAAAAGTATTTAAGAAGTTGCATCTTTTGCCTAGGCAGCTGTCAAAACCAAGAACAGTCTGTGAGAACTCATTCCATTCTAAATTAATCCTAAGTACTTCTAAAATAAAACTGTTGAAAGAAAACAACATTTGAGATTCTTTTTATAATTTAGCGGCTAAAACCTTTGTTTGGTGCAGTATAACTTGGTTAGTTACTGGTACGAGGCAATATCTTGATGGCCTGTGTGGCAGGTGCAGTTTTTGTCTAAATCACAGTATTGGGCCTTAGTTTCCAGAGCTCCATCTGCAAAAGAGGTTTCTAGAAATTGTTGGCTGGTGCTGCTGTCTGGTTCTCCTCTACTGGCTGATTTCGAGTTGTGTTTGGAGAATGGACAATTGTGAGCATTACTCCTCATCTTGGAAAACCTATGTGCCATATCTTGTGCTTCATGCTGCTTCAGCATAGCTGCACAATTTTTAGGGGGGAACAAGAAACTTTTTCCCAATGTCAATCTTACCCAACCGTCATTGTTGTTGTTACTGTTAGTCTTGCAATATTATTATTATTATTATTATTATTATTATTATTATTATTATTATTATTATTATTATTATTATTGCGGTTGGTTGCACAGTCAGCCAGATGTTTAGACTGAATTTCATATTTTTCTCCACCCACTGAGTCAATCAGAATAGAGCTGGACCTTGGAGGTCTTCTAGTTCAACCCCTGTGCTCAAGCAGAAGATTCCGTACCATTTCAGACAGGTGGATATCCAGTCTCTTCTTCAAAACCTCCACTGATGGAGCACCCAAGATTTCTGGTGGCAAGCTGTTCCACTGGTTAATTATCCTCACTGTTAGGAAGTTTCTCCTTAATTCCAGGTTGCGTCTCTCCTTGATTAGTTTCCATCCGTTCCTTCTTGTCTTGCTTTCTGGTGCTTTAGAAAATAGGTTGACCTCCCTCTTCCTTGTGGTTGCCCCTCAAATACTGAAATATTGCTATCATCTCTCCCCTAGTCCTTTTCTCTAGACTGGCCAGACCCAACTCCTGGGAGCCATTCTTCATATGTTTTTGCCTCCAGGCCTTTAATCATTTTAGTAGCTGC